TTCTATGACACTGGTGTCCCTCAGAAAGGACCAGATGGCCTGTGTTTAGGGCCCAGGTCATCCTAGGAGATGAGACAGAGCAAACCCTGAGGTCTGCAGTCCCACATCCACAATGGCTCAATGGCAAAAACAGTTAATGGTTAAATGGGTAAAAAATGGATGTTGGCCATAGGGATGAAGCCAGGAGACAGTCCAGTTTGTTGCTGTTGTAAAATAAGGAATGAGCATTCCTGGATGGTTCTCTGTGGCATGACCAAGTGTACTGAAGGGCCAGCAGGGGTCACGAGGAGCATCATGGGAGTTGGGAGGGCCCCTGGGGCCCAGCTGGAGGTTGATGGACCTGAGGAGCAAGCCTGCCAAGGAATGGGGAGCAAGGGCCAACCTTACACTCCAGCTGTTCCGGTCAGGGGATGGGCTCTCTGAGGATACTGTTGAGGTGGGAAGCCCCATGAAAAAGATGGCAGGACCCCCCCGCAGGGCCACTACTCTCCTGCCAGCACCATTCGGTTCCCTGGCCCAGCAGGATTATCTCACTTTTTAACTCTGAAATGGCTTACTTCTAGGAAAGCGGAACTTACCCCTAAGAGTCTATTGGTTCTCTGAAATAACTCCTGATTGATCCATTTCTATCACTCCTGATTGGTCCATTTCTACAAAGCTCATTCCTAATTAGTCACCTTTGTTACATCTTATTTGCATATGATGTTGCAAAGTATAGACTGGCAGCCTATAAAAGCCTGTGTAAACCTACAGACGGGGTCCAGAGCTTGGAGTGTTAACTCCTCTGGGCCCACTGGCGTAATAAACCTGAGTTCTCCAACTCTCCGAGTGCTGCTTGTTCTCTTGCCTTGATCCAGGTTGCTGTTGCAACTGAGCTGTAACACTGAGCTGTAACACACTTTTCTACAACACTGTCACGGAGAACAAGCTAGCTGATGGTCTGGGGACAGCTGGATGCATCACACTCAAGATAATGCCAACATGAGAACACAACTTTAAAAGAGGGGACAGGCCCAGGAGCTGCAGCATAGGGTCACATCATTCTGGTTTGCCCAGGACTTTCAAGTCTTAGCACTGCCGGGCTCATGTCCTGGGGTCCCATCAGTTCCACACAGCTGGGCACCCCGATCACTACCAGGGCTCCACACAGCCCCTCAGGAGGTGGGGGCACAGCAGACGGCAGGAAGGACAAGCAGGTAGCCATGTAACCCTAGAGAAGAGAGCTTGGCTGCCAAGGTTCTGCAGTCTTGCTGGTGAGAACAAGCCAGAGAATCCCTGTGAACTTGTTACTGGGCCTGGGTCCTAATCCCATAGAGGTGTGGCCCCAGGAAGCTAGGGAACCAGAGTGCAAGTGCCAGGAGACTTTACCATCGGTCACTTCCTCCCTTCTGCCTCTCGCCAGCAAAGGCTGCCTGGCATGAGGGACAGTGGGGCGTGAGAGGAAGCTAGGGTGATCATCCGTATTCATGTGCCTTGAGGTTTGGTCCCAACTCACACACAATGGTTCTCATCCCAGACACAATAATGAGTGTCCCCAGCTGCTCCCGGAGCCTGTCTGCCTTCCTGCCTGGCCTGAGAAGCCAGGAAGTCTTTCCAGGGAGTACCCATCTGTGGGCCCGGGGGTTTGGAAAATGCTGCTTTGGGTCCAAGAGACACTGCCTTTGGACAGAGCATTCTCTCTTTGGTTAAAGTATCATGTGTTCTCTGGAACTAGCCCCTGAGATGTCATGGAATTGTCAGCTTAGGAGGCTGTTATTTTACCATCAGGAAATCAACATCTAACAACCCTAGGGGCTTTTTCCAGGAACTCATATTTTTTTCCTGGAGGAGAGCAAAGGCTGGCTGATAAAGTATGTACTGGGAAGGGGCTTGAGTTACAGTCACATGCTGACTCCTCTGAAGAAAAGGCTCAACTTAGCTTCCAAGTAAATATTCATTATTTATTTGGAAAGGCAGAGGGAATTTTTTTCCATCCTTTGGGTTGATCCCTATGAAGGAAGATCTGGAATACAGAAGCTCTGAGATGTGTACATATCACATCTAGGGGCTGTCCACTAATTGGGGTGTGCTGCCATGGAATGCAGGGCCCTGCCCTGTCCCGCACATCCAGTTAATACTTTGGAATTCTGAACTGAGCGGAAGTTTGTTTGGACCTGGCCCCACCTCCGCTCACTCCCCTCCCAGGGCTTTGATCTTGTGGTTCTGATAGGTCAAGACCCCCCATGGGTCCTGGCAGCTGTGAGTAGCCCTCAAGTCTGCTCTCTTAGCTCCTCCATCTAGGAACCAGCCCATCTGGTGGACAATGTGCACTGGTCAGCTCTCTGCCCCACAGGAGAGGAGGCCTGTCCCTGCAGAGCAAGACCTGTGGAGTCCAGCTGGGCACATGGCCTGGGGTGTCTAATTCTGGGCTGACCATTAGTAAGCCCTCTGAGTCACAGATCCTGGGCCAGGTTCTCTAGGTAGCTTTGCCAGTAATAAGATGGTATCTTGATCTCTGTCTGTGCTCTGGTCTCAGACAAGGCTGGTCCATGGGTCAGGAACACTAAGAAGCAGACAAGCACTGGCATCTCAGGAGAAAGTTAACAGATGCAGAGTGAGGCTTTGGTTGGGGTCTTAACGATGTGCTTCAGGCCCCAGGCCGACCTCAGCCCCAGTGAGCAGAGGGAGATATGAGTCCAGAAGGACTGCCAGAGAGATGCAACGGTGCTGGCCCTGTAGATGGAGGAAGGGCCACAGCTTCTAGAAGGAATAAGAGCAGCTTCTAGAAGCTGGAAAAGGCAAGGAAACATATTCTCCCCTAGAGCCTCCAGAAGGAACGCAGCCCTGCTGGCACCTTGATTTTAGTTCAGTGAGACAATGTTGAACATCTAACCTATAGAACTGTAAAGTGATAAATCTGTATCTCTCAAGGCACTAAGTTTATGGTAATTTGTTACAGCAGTCATAGACTGACACCTATTAACTCTAAAAGTGTAGCACATGAGCAAATAATTTAAAAGAAACCTCACCCATTACTTTGCTAAGGAGTTTGGGTGTTACCTAAGAGCCATAGGGAATTAGGAAGCAGGAAAGAGATGGAACCAAATCTGTGCATAAAAATCACTCAGGAAGTAACACAGAGGATGGATTTGGGGGTAGGAAGGAGGACTGCAGGCAAGGAGACCAATGAGGAGGCTGCTCAAAGGTCCAGATCAAAGATGACCAAGGCCAGGGCTGGCTTGGGAGCAGGGGGAATGGAGTGGAGAGGACTGATGAGAGAAGTTCTGCACAGAGGAGTGTAAGGATTCGGTGACCTATTGGATGCTGGTGGTGAGGGAGGTTGGAGCTTCAATGACACCAAGTGTCCAAGTAAGAGAATGGAGAGATAAGATCTGAAAGAGGAGAGACGGGTTGTGGATGCATGTTAGAAGTCTGACATGCTCATTCCGAGTGGAGATGTCCAGTGAGCAGTTGGAAGTGCAGAGCCTGGGCTCCATGGAAATGATGCAGCTGCAGCTGAAGCCTGGGTGTGGATGACAGAACTGGTGCAGTGAGCTGTGCACCAGGGGATCAACCCGAGGGAAATGGAGGCTCAAGGGGCAAGTCAGCCACAAGGAGGCTGAGAAACAAAGAGCAGAAGAGTGAGGAGGGAAGAGTGGGAAGAGGGGATTAGTGGGAAGAGGAAAGTCACGTGCAAGCCCTATTCCGACTATTGCAGTAAATCCCCTCTCGCACCAGACCTCCCTGTGCCTTGCCTGAGCCCCCAGGTACTCTCAGCTCCCATCACTCTGTCATGGCCCCTCGTCTTGCTTCTGCAGCATCCCAAGCCCACCTTGAAGCTCGGGCTCCCTTGGGTCCTCTCTCTCCTTGTCATTCCCTGTGCTGTGAACGTGGACATGGTGCCCACTCCGCTCCTTTATTATTAACTAGAGACCAAGCAGTCCAAGGAAGTGGGACCTGGGTTCTAAGGCACCACTTTCTGGTTTCAAACCTTGGCCACATCACTGAAGCCTCTTTGAGCTCACTCTCCCTGTCTGTAAATGGGGTCACGGTACTACCTCTATCTACTGGCACCCACCTTTCTGCAAACTGGATAATAGTACCTCACAGCATCCTTGTACATGGAAAGCCCTTAGCACGTATCTGGCACAAAATAATTGTGCCGGCAAACGTTAGCCGTCGGAGACCTTAGCAGTGAACAGAGCAAAGCCTGAGGTAACTGCGTGTGAAATATTGCCCCGTTTCAGGATTCTCCAAGAGCAGGGAGTGGTGCATGTGTGCCTTATATTTGCGTACTTAAGAGGCCAGCCTGGTGCCCTTGTTCCCTATTCCCAAACTGTCTACCCCTTGAGTGCTTGCTTTCTAATCCTCTAGAATGTTCTATTAGTGCAATCCTCTCACTGAAAAAAAAAAAAGAAAAGAAAGAAAACACCTGGAGAAGCTGCTACACGGGCCGTGGTCCATCCGACCCTAAACCACAGGCCAGGCTTCGGGGTCACAGGCAGCCAGAGGCGGGCGAAGACAGAGGAGCACCATTTGGCCTCCTTACCTTTAGGAAGGAAGTGACCAGAGCAGGTTTAGAGGCCAAGGGGAAGGAACCGCTGGAGAGGGAGACGTTGAAAGCACAGGAGAGGCCAAGGAAGGGACGACAGGAGCAGCGCCGTCTCCGCCCGAGACCTTCCCAGGAGAGCGAGCGGCTGGTGGCGCGACGTGCGTGGGCGGGACCCGTCATCTGCGGAGGGCGGCGAGGGGAGCGCCCCGGGGGGCCAGGGGGCGGGTCTGAAACGCCGCCGCGAGGAGGCGAGGAGGACGATGGGAGCCCGGGTGCAAGGCCCGGCGGACTCCCTAGAGGGAGGTGTGCGAGCAGGAGTAACTCTTTCGGCTGATTCCTGGTCCACCTGTAGCTCTCCTGTGTTTCCACAGCCAAGAGGCTCCCTTCGTGTCTGACAAAGTTGGGTTTTTACATCTGGAAGTCTCATTTTGAAGATATGAGTGGGTAAAACTTTAAAATGGAAGGATAGCATTACATAAAAATGGTATTATGGCTTTATTATTTGAAGGATCAAAACATAAGTACATCTGAGGGGAGGGTATAGCTCAAGTGGTAGAACACATGCTTAGCGTGCACGAGGTCCCGGGTTCAATCCCCAGTACCTCCTCTAAGAATACATAAGTAAACCTAACTACCTCCTCCTACCAAGGGAGGGAAATGAAGCATTTGAAGGCCACTCTCATTACAATAACCGTATTTTCACACTCTCCTTAAGGACAGAACTTTCATGCACATGCACTACGTGTTGCATCGACACGTGAACAATATATAGAAAAGACAACTGCACAGCCCTCCAAGAGACGCCCTTCCCGGTGCACGGGGCCAGCCTTCCTCACTGCCATCAGCATTCTGGTTTGCACATATTGATTTCCGTTTAAAAGGCCAGGCCTCTGGATACCTTCCTGGCATCTCGCCCCACACATACAGTGAAGCTGGGCAGAACTGAGAATCCCACCTCTAAAGAGGGGACCAGCAGCAGATACCTAGGGCCCCTTGAACAACCACCCGAAGCTCCCTGACAGCTGGCTCCGTGCTCCTGTGGAGTCACTACCCTTGCCTCCCCACCTCTCTCAGCAGCAAGAGGCAGGCATGTCAGACAGTATGGCCCAGTACTGAGGGCAAGGGTGGCCCCCAGGCTTCTGCAAATATGGACTAGGGCTGTTTGTGCTTCTGAGCAAACGCTTTCTCTGCTGACTCCAGCGTCCAGTAAATGCTGCAGGAGGAATAAGGACTGCTAATGACCTTTGTCATGCTCTGCTCCAGACCCTCCGCCCAACGGGGTGCAAGATACAGGTAACATCACGTACTTGGATTACAAATAGGCCTTGTTGCTAATTAATGTTTACAGAAAACAATTAATGAAATACATCAGCATGCAATGTCTCCTTTAAAATGCCCTACAAAACCCACATATTTTAAAGAGGCAGCCAAATGACAAAATCCATCAGTTGTTCTAAGTCCTACTGTGTGCCTCTCATTCCTAGAAGCTCAGCTGGTCTCTCAACGCCCCGGGGAGCTTAGAAGTAAAAGATTCTGTAAGTCAACAGGTGGACATGCAGACAGTAAAATATAAATGGGAAAAATTTAGCTTCCCCGTGATTTAAGCCATACAAATAACCACGAAGTGCCATTAACCATACAGATCGACGAAATTCAGTGTACAGCAGTGAACAGCTGATTACCAGTGGCAAAGGACAAAGACATGTCTCGTGATATTGCAACTCAGTGTAGCTTTCTGAGGGATAGAATTGCACAATATGTGACAATGACCATGAAACTTTGACCCAGCAATTCCACCTTTGGAAACAGCCCGGAGGAATGAAGACAAAGTTGGGAAAAGAAAATTTTGTGCCATGATGTTTACTGAAGTTGCTCTCTATACGAGGAGGACATTCAAAACAACCCTTAGCAAACCACAACAGGCAGGCAGGCAGGCCGCGGGATTCTGTGTGTCCACTATAAACTATGCTCATGCACAGAATTTTATACACAAAATAATAAGTGAAAGCAAAGGGAGAATACGATAGAATGAATATATAACTTGCAATTGGATGAAAACGTGTGTAGGGACACATAGATCATATCAGGAGTGAATTAAGAATGATGTAAATAATTGGTAGAAATTTTTGTTGATGTTGTTGTAAAGCTGAGTCCAAAATAAAATTTAAATTTACAAAAAGAAAGAGACACAATTAGAGAGATGCTATGTCTGGATGCTGAGGAGCACCCACAGCAAGTGCTGTGGGTCCAGGCAAGGGTTAGCTCAGCCAGGATTCCTCACTTGGGCATTACCAACACCTTGAGCCAGATCATTCATTGATGCAGGGGCTGATCTGTGCATTGTAGGGTGACTACCATCAGTGCGGGCTTCTACCCCCTAGATGCCAGCAACACCACCCTCCCAAAATACCTCCAGGCATTGCCAAATGTCTGACAGTTGGGGGATGGGAGACAAAGTGGAGTAAGTGATAGCCACTGATTCTCCAGCTTAGCAGTGGGCAGCGGATAGGGAGTGGTGAGGTCTGGGGGGATCCAAGGAGTTGTGCCCTTCTAAGGGGGCCAACCTTACTCAGTCTGAAATCCAAAATGACATAACCGGGTTTCTTTTTTCATTAGCAGCTAATTCAGTCTGAGCCTCAAGTCTGTGGGCTACACAGGGGCAGGCCAGCAGGCTTTTTCTGACAAGGGCCAGATGGTGACCACTTTAGGCTTTGTGGGAAAAACTGTCACAACTACTGGGTCCTGCCTTTGTGGTGGTGGTGGGGAACTGCCACAGATGACATGACAAGGATGAGCATGGCTGTGTTCCAATTAAGCTTCGTTGATGGATACTGAAATTTGAATTCTATCAAATTTTCCCATGTCATTAAACATGATTCTTCCTCTGATTTTGTCTTCCAGCCTTTAAAAATGTCAGTATCATTTTTGGCTCATTGGCCCTACAGAAACAGAGCCCAGATTTGGCCTGAGAGCCGAGTGGCAGACCCCTGGAGTGAAGTGTGTATACAGCAGCTGTGATAACCGATAACCGGGGAGAGGGGTGCGCCACAAAGGGCGCCCGAACGCCCACGGGGAGGCCTGGCAGCCCAGTACAGGCTTTCCCCACAGGAGGGTGAAGCCACGCCAGACCCCTCCAGCACCCCCACCTGGACCACCACCCCACATGCTGCTTCTACTGTGTGTTTTGTTGCAGCCTCCTGAGGAATCAGAATGAAGTTATCTTTTTTTTAAACAAAGATTGGCTTCTCTGCTATTCTTGTAATTTTTTTCTGGTATTATTGTAAGAGAAAGGCTATTAATAGGACACTAACATTAACTGTCTGCATGGTTCCCAGAGCCCTGGGAACTCTAACAGGAATTTTATCAGTTTTTAATGACCATGCTAAAACACATGTTTTCCTGTTTGCATCCTCTCAGTGTCTTTTTGACAGTCACAGAGAAGACGCAGGTGGCCTTTTCCGGATGCAGAGGCAACACAGGACACTGGGAGTGGGGACAGTCTGTGACTATATCCCAGGAGAGGATGGTCACTGTGGCTTCTCTTAGGCTGGTGTCCTGTGATCTGCTCTGGAGAGCAGTGTGTGGCCTGCTGAATGAGCTCCTGGGGTTCCTAAGAAAACTGCAGCTCTTACTGGCAGGAAATGCTGACTCCTATGAGATTAGCCTGGGCATCTCAAACAAAACAGAGAGCCTCAATCTCCCTCACCCTCCAAGGCAGCCAAAGTAAATATGGAAAATGATAACAGGGGGCTGATGAGAAGGACAAAAAGGGATAAAAAGGGAAAAAAGAGTTAAAAAGATAAAAAGCTACTGGGAGTGGTGGGGAAAAAGGGAGTAGAAAATGGGAAACATAAAGGAAAGTAAGAAATCGGAAGAAGAAATGAAACAGCAGGGCTGTGGTATTTGCAAACTGTCCATGAGATGGTTCGGGCTTTCACGAATGATCATGGGAGAGAGAGCAGAGGGTTACATCTTCATCTCTGAAATCCACTCACAGGAGCCATCTGGGACCTCTTCTCTCTCTTCAGCCATCAAATTCTTGGATCTTAGGTTCAAAAGCCTCATCCAGGTGTGAGATAGACAGGATTAGGGAGACAAACTCTGGGAACGCCCCTCCCCTGCCCACTTCACATAGACTTTGAGAAGACCCCTCAGCTGGAGGTGGCAGAGGGGCACAGGTGAGAGAGAAGTGTTGAGGGGTACAAAGCTAGAACCTCCTATAAGCTCACGAATCAAAGGCAGGGTGGAAAGAGCCCCATCTGGATCTCTGGGGGACGGGGGGCTCAAAGAATTGCCCAAGTCACCACAGTTGGGGGTGGGGGAGGTATCAGTGCAGAAAGAGCCCACTACAACCAGAAATCCAGTGTATCCCTTTTGTTTGGTCCCCTTCTGCTCCCAGGATACAGGGTCCCTAGTACCGTGCCCAGGCCTCCCTCATTCCTTGGTTGATAAGTAGTCACTGTTCTGTAAACTAAGAGTGATGAATTTGGGGGGCAGGGGGTGCTGTAGACATGAGATTTAATGAGGAGAGAGCTTTGGGAAAGCATCCCCCAACTCGTGCCCACAGTAAGGATGCGGCCGTTGGCTGAGGAAAGTGGCAGGTGACTTGACAGGGACAGGTGGGGCCAAAGGCACCTCCCAAGACCAACTCTGGGCAGACAACAAACCAGAGACAAAGCCTGCGCTTCTCTGAATGTCTTCCGGCGCTCAGAGCCAGTGCCAGGGTGGATGGGGCGTCAAAATTCCGAATGTGAATGAGTTACATACCCAAAGCGACAGAAATCACCAAATCGAGCTGTGGTTACTTCAAAAGGTCAGGGGCTTTGACTAGAAATTAGTTTGGGTTATAGAAAGTAAGGCAATGGTTTGCAAGTCTGAGCCAGTGGCTCATGAAGTTTGTGCCGCTACATACACACTGACTTCTCAAACTCTCCCAGGAGAAAACCATTGTCAGCCTTTCCCTCTCGCAAGTGCCTGGCCCGCTGCTCCCAGCTGCCCCATCTCACCAGGCTCTCAGCAGCCTCCCCCAATGGCCAGAAGAGACACAGCTGCACGTTAGGAAGTCATCTGATGTCACTGTGGTCAGGGTGCCAGCCCTAAGTTCCAAGGTGCTGGCAGCTGAATCCCACCATCAGCACCTATGCTAAAGGCTCCACTAACTGAGCCTTGCCGGGTGAAGGCAGAGGAGCCCTGTGGTGGAGCAGCAGAGTTGCTAAGCATTGCATGTCCCCAGGTCCTGCACAGCTGCTTCTGGGAAGAGGTCTTTGTAGGGTGTGTCCCTGGGATCTGAGCTACCATGAGGGGTCGGACAGAGTCCCTGTAAAAAGCCACGGCAGTCTTTGGTGCTTTTCTATTCCCAGGCTTGGGTACAAGACAGAGGGGCAGCGAGGGCCTCCGGATACGGTTTCCAGGGCTGGGCAATGGCCTGGAGGGTGAGGCAGACGTGCTGGTCCAGGGAGAGTCCATTCCTGTGCCCTGCTGAGGCCCTCCCTCATTCCTCCATCCAATGTGGAGTGGGCCAAGGGAGATTTAAAGAAGATAAAGAGGAATTTCAGGTGTGCCATCAGGAAGGCCCCAGCACTTCCCGCCCCATGTTGAGAGAGAAGCATAAGCTCTGACGTGATGTCGGTGCTACCCTAGAGGTGGAGCCTGGAGCCTGGGAGGTCAAGTTGAAGGGAGAGAACCCTCACCTCCCACCAGAGCACACAACGCTGACTAAACAATTGTCTTCCGGCAACGGGCAGAGTCTCTCCTGAAGCCGTGAGGAGCAACCCCAGCAAAGGCTGCGCCCACGGCCCAATTCTTAGGGAAGACCAGATTTATCCACCTCCAGGACCCATCACCCCTCCAAGTCAATCTGTCATAGGCCTCAGTGAGAGCTCGCTATCTGAACAAAAGAAAATAAATGGCTTTTTCTCTGCAAAGTGCTCAGGCTGGTCACCATCCTTTCTTCTCAAGCAAGCTACATGTTCGTGCCGACCAAGCTCAAAAAGCCGCTCGGGGCTGTGCGAGGCTCCAACACAAGCAGGACGGGGAAACACCAAGGCAGCTCTTCTAGGCAAGTCCTGATACCATCTCTCTGCAAGAGTCACCCACACTGACGTGAAAAGGGATTCAAGCCACGGCAGCTCTTAGAATTCTCTTTGAGTTTGGTCTGGAAGTTTTTCAGACACGAGAAATTCTCTGGCTGTCACTGAATTTTTCAAGTATGGATTTGGTGCTCCTTCCTCGCAGAGATGGTCTGGCCCTAAACTTTGGGCAGAGGGGAGAAGTTGCTCTCTGACTTCTGAGCTGCTTCCCTCTGGCATTCCGGAACACGGGTGTTGGAACTTTTCCGGTGGGATCTCAGGTGAAAAGGGGGGACAATAAGGCCTATAGGGAGAGGTCACGTACTCATTCTCTTCCCCTCCCCAGATGCTTTCCTGACCCTTTCCACGCTCCTCTGTGGAAACCTCTTCCAGAAAAATCTCAAAGTTCACCACCAACTTGTCAATAAGGTCACTGGAGGCAGAACGTGGTTTTAGAATCCTGTCTTCTGTGTTCACAGAGTCATCAAACTCCTTCAGATTTAGCTTACCCTGGAAAAGAGAAAGGGACACCCCTGCAGTGGTCACTTGGGGGCCACATATGATGTAGCCAAAAGCTATTAGGCTTGGGACGCCAATGCCTCACCTCTTGACCAGCCCCCCACACTTCTCTTAGAGACCAGAGTGGTGCCCTTCCATGGGAGCTGGGCAAGTGTGGTCCATTTCCTGAGAAAGGACACGCTGTATTCAAACAATTTCTTCTTCTAGAGAGAGCTCAAGGCTATTTTCCACATAATCATATACTCACTAAATCCCAGTAGGCGTCGAGGCATCAAAATTAGAACTCTTACAGATGAGAAGACAAAATCATAAAGACAAATGACTTGCCTAACATCACCAGAAAAATCAAAGGTGGCCTTCTGGTAGGGGCCCTGTACTTGTCATCTTTGTATCCCCAGAGCCTGGCTCAATCATACAGTGAGTGATTAATAAGTGCTGGCTGTAGAGGCCAGATCTACAGATGATTCAAAAAGCATTTTAGACATCAGACAATACTGCCTGTGAACTAATTTACTCTCTTAGTAACTTTTAATAAGTAGGCAAGTAAATAGGGTGAGACATGACTGATAAAGGAGAGAAGAAAATAGAAATAGGAGTAACAAAAATTAAAATAAATAAATAAAAGTAATTAAAATGTTCATGTTAAAAAAAAGACATGAGTTGAAACAAAAGGTAATATTAAAAATTCCTGAGCACGTGGTGGCATGTCACTCCAGGACCTTGCTTCCAACGTATAAACAATAAGTTTCTACTGTATAGAACAGGGAACTATATTCAATATCTTGTAGTAATCTATAATGAAAAAGAATGTGAACATGAATATGTATATGTATGACTGAAACATTATGCTTCACGCCATAAATTGACACAACACTGTAAACTGACTGTACTTCAATAAAAAAAGAATGCAAAAAAAAAAAATTCCTGTATCAAGAAGTACTAGAAACAGTCTTTCACTAATGAGGATTTAAAGGTTATATTTGATCGAGGTTATTTCTACTTAACCAAGAAATTAAACTTTTAAAATTTCAGAACAGTTTTCAATGTAAGAACTAACAAAAATGCAGGTTTTTCTACTTATGGATGATTCACTAGAAAACCCCATTGCCAGTTAATGTTTCACTGTAACTTCCCCAAACTGATTTTCTCAATTTCGCAGTTTGAGGCAGCCTGCCCCAGCCTTTGAATAGAAACCACATCAGTGTCCTTCCAGCATCTCCAGGTGGTCTCCAGATTAACTTGCTCTTGGTTGCTTTTTAAATGGCCTCAATCTTATAGCCCAGTTCTCCTGCCCTCTGATTAGACATGCAGGTCCTTAACGATAGGGTCAGTGTCTTCCATGACATCCTTTCTAGGACCAACCAGTCCCATGCCCAGCACATATTAGGTCCCATGAGCCTGATGAGTCCTTTTCCTCTTGTTCAAAGGATGAGGTCAAAGTCATTCCAGGAAAGCTGACTGCACCTGTCCTGCCAGGGACTTTTTAGCCTCAAGATCTCTTTATGTGAATCCTGTACAAATCTCAGCCCAGGACTGCCCCTCACTTCCATCACCCTGTCCACCACCCACAACCAGCCAGCTCAATGATCTCTTTAACAAAAACAGGAGAGTTTACCTTGAAATCACCTCCATGCCACAAGGCTATACTGCTTTCGGCAGGGTTGGGGACAGCAGGCCAACATAGCTGCTTCAATTTGCTAATAAGAGATAAGAGTTTAAAATAGGAAGTG